TCTTCCGCAACATTGCGGAGTTTGGCTCGCAAGCCTTTTTTTTTTCCATGGTGGCTCGCAAGCCATTCTTTCAGCAATGCTATTTGCCAAACAATTTTTTTTTTCCAGCCATATTGTCTTGGCAACATTTATTATTATTATTATTATTTTTAAATAAAACACTTTTGTTACAACAGCGTTATGCATCCCTCCAACACTATTGAGAAAAGAGAAAACAACACTGCTGACCATCTTGAACTACCGCCAACAACGTAGTGGCTTTTTCTTAACAATGCCGCTTGATTATATTTTTTTTTTTAACATATTGTGTGGCTTAATTTAGCCACATTATTTTTTTATAGCTAAATAAAAAAACAAGCTAGACTTTGGCATAAACCATCACGCCAAAGGTCCAGACCCACTGCCAACTCCATGGATCGAACCAAACAAGCCATCCGTGAACGCCATTACTCTTCACAACTGGCTTTACACACGACCGAGAAGTTTTGAAGTCGGTGCTGGATTGAAACTTTTTAGCTCGTCTATCTCGAACATCCTTGTTTGAGATCCTACAAGCTTGACTTGGCTTTACTTCAGCCATAAGTTTTGATCGTTGACATGAAAAATCATCGGTATTTTTCGCTCTTGGCAAGACATTCACATTTTTTGGCATCTTCGTCTTGCCGAGTCGACCATGCCGCATTGCCTGCTCAGACTGGTCCGGTTTTGTCAGTTGTACACTCTCACAATGTTGTTGGGAGTTTGAGCATCGAGATTTACTAGCTCCATCAACACGTGTGTTGGTATTTTGTTTACCACGACCATGATCTTTGCACTTATCGCACAACAACTTTGCATCTTTTGAACTTCCACGTGAGTTTGGAGTTTGTTTGGCATTGGCCTTGCCCCCCAGACCACCACTCATGGATTTGTTCCCAGCCAGCACTGGTGTGGCAACCCCATGTCGGGTTTGATCGAACTTGCTCCCCTCTCTACTCAGTGGAGGTTTTGGGGACAATTTACATAGAGGATTCTGTTGATTCATGCCAACTTTGATGGCATTGGAATTTTTCACGTGATCACCACCTCCATCTTGAGTAGTGTTTGTGGTGACCCTAGTTTGACTTTTCCTAGAACAAGGTGGATGTGGCAAACTTATTTGCCACTTACGGTGTTGTTTCTCCTTCAATCTACCACGAGATGGGATGACATGCCCCCCGAGCGGCTTAGATTGAACAACATTGTAAAATTTATCATCTTTCAAGATATCACAGTTGTTCTTCCTAATTTTCTGAAACTTATTATAAACACGTTTAAATTTTGTTCTTTGTTGTGGCTTTCGCAAGACTGCTCTAACTTTCATGTCCTTCAAAACAATAGTGTTCACAGGAGAACCAACATGAGATTTGTTGGTACCTAACGCCACTGTTTTAGCCACAAGTTTAAGTGAATCCTTATTGACAATACCGGAAACATGTTCATCGATCATCTCAAAAAATTTATTCATATGTATTCCAAGAGAATCACAAGGATTATTTAAAGAGATAAAATAGAGATTTACCTGTCGGTAATATTCCTCTACAGATCGACGAAGAGATAGGAGTGCAGCATGCCCATCAGTGCTCGACATGGATTGGGGCCACTCCTTCATCACCCCGATATGTCTATCCGCCTCATATGCTCCGCCAACTTCAATGTCGGCCACACGCTCCACCTCCACAGATTCTTCTGGAAGATCAACGTTGTGTTTTCCATGCCGCAGAGCCATATTTCACTTCAAACACACGCGTCCCACCAGGTGTGCCAAATTGTTTCCCCGGAAAAACCAAATGCCACCGCCGGTGCCGAATTGGTTTCCGGCGATGTTGATTCGATGTTTCGCGATGGAAACTCTTGCGGTGCCGTTGATCGAATGCACCGCTGATAGCTGAAATCGAGACGACCGTCAAATATCCGCCACCGAATGTCGGCGTCGTTGATTTGATCGGTGCAACTCTGACTTCTGAAAACGATGACGATCGTCAAATATCCACCGCCGTGCGATGTTGATTTGATCGATCGAACAGAAAACAAAGAAGATCGTCAAATATCCGCCGCCGGTGTCGGCGTCGTTGATTTGATCGATACACCCTTGACTTCTAATCAAACAACCGTACTCGGTTCGCACCTCTCCAAACTACGTTCGAACGAGGGTGTTTGAGTTTTGAGGAATCTACGCTACCGCTACTCCTATGGAGATTCCTGTGGAGAGCTCCGCGACTACGACTAAGACTACAACTATGGAGATCCTTCCTGGAAGGAGAGCTCCGCGAAGGAGTTACAGAGAAAAAGATAAGTTTGACAGAGTTGATCTGTGTTGATTTTTTTTGGTTCCCCTCCCTCTCTCCTTGCATGGTTGATTTTATCTAAAACCAACTTCGTAGTCTTCACGCTCTGTAGAACTGCTTCTTCAACTGCCCCGTCCTGAAACCCCACGTGTCTCAACTGCCCTGATCTCCTCTTTCTGCTTTGCGTAAAAATCACGTGCCATCGAAACCGCTCCTGTTTGCAGAAACTTGGCGAAACGACATTGAGCCAAATCCTACACCCTTGTCCATGCAACGATGTCGTTTCACCAATACCGCGGCATCACCTTTCACTAATCGATGCCGACAAACAATGTCGTTTTCCATTCCGCGACATTGTTTCTTTTTTAAACACTGTCGTTTGCTAATCCGCGGTACCGTTGGGCTTACTCGCGGTACCGTTTTGAATTAAACGACACCGCCGATATAGCCAAAAAATATTAATCCATGGAACGCGCCGCAGTCGGCGCTCGCATTGGGCCGGGTGAATTTTGGTCACTTGCCCGATATGATTTTTAATTAATCGGTACCGCTTACCAGGCTCTCGCGGCACCGTTTTTAAATCCGCGGTACCGTTTTAACTCTCCGCTGTGCCGCTTCTCCCAAGGAATAAAAAATAATAATCAAATAATCAAAACTCCTCCTCCAACCCATTAAACGCACGACCCTTTTTATTTTCGGCAAGCGGTGTCGTTTCCAGTTTTGCGGTACCGCTGGGCTTACTCGCGGTACCGTTTTTTGTTTCCCGCGACACCGCTCGACTCCCTACGACACCGTTTTTACCCGCGGTATCGACTTAAATGCCGAGACTAATTAATACGGCATTTAATTCCGGCCGAATTAATTTTAGGTGTCAACAAAATGTTATCTTTTTTTATACCAATCAGAAAGTGATATTTGTTTTGCCCGCATCCTATCCTTAAAATATTACAAAATCAGCATGTATTCTGTAACATCCTGAACCTTTTCCCGAGCAAGATATTGCCCGCTTTGAGCCTCGACCCTCACGGTTTTCGACTTGTGGTGCAATTCAAGGTGACTTCCAATAAGGTCACTCATCATTGTTGTACTCCACACTGAGCACGTTAACTTCGAAATTCTCACAAGAACTCCTTCATTTCACACTCCTTCATTTCACCCCAAAACGCATCTTGTCATTTAAGGTCGGTTTTTTACTTATGAACCATGGATCTCTCCCATACTTTGTCGATGTGAAATTCGCCTAAAATGTTACATATTCTTTCATAAAAAACAGGAGGGCCAAAGTGCGCGTCTAGGCTTCCCCTCCCCTTCCCAGCCAAATATGACAATTCCCTTTCTTCCATTTATGCATAAATCTTCCTTTTATCTCTCAAATTTGTAAATTCGGGAGAATTTTTTGTTGGGTTGGGGAAAAAAAAATCTTTCCATCTTCCATGTACCCAAATGCCAAATATGACCCGTGCGTTGGAGTTGGTCTTACCCAAAACAAATAATGAAACAAAGATGGGGGGAAAAAATCCCCTTTTTCTTTCTTTTGTTGCTCAACTTGCGTATCAACTTGCAGGCAGCAGGAGGAAAGCCCTTTTCAGCAGCATCCCCCTTGCAGACCATATGGTACAACCAGACACACACAATTCAAAAGGACCAAAAGAAGTTATGAATATATAATAATATTTTAAATTTTATTCAAAAGAAAAATATGGCAACCAAGTTGCCAACTATGAATTAATAACACACAAGTTGAGAGTTTGTAATATTTAAGGTCCTCCAACTTGGCAACTTGCAGAGCATAAATTGTTAGTATAGCCATTCATGAATTGATGCGGCCAAGAAACCATGCCACCGCCTGCCTGCAGCCACCCCCTACCCCAGAAACAGCCGATCCATTAGTACTAAACATAATTTTTTTAATCAATAGATTATTCGTATCTTATTACTTAATCAACATGTTAATCAGGTAATTTATTTGGGTTTAATTCCGCATGTATATGAAACCTGTAGAAATATCGATTTCGGAAAAAGATCACCTCAATTTTGTATGAGGAGTTTCTAGCGCATAGCTGCATAGCGATATCATGACAGTACCCTATATGTATAATCCTTCGAAATTCAATCTCGATCATTCTCTTTGGCGAAAACACAACACCTAACTAGCCATTTCAAAGTGTTGAGACATAACCCGTACATCAAACAATCGTCGGCAAACTAAAACATTTGGAATTTTAGTAATTTTTGGGAACCAATACGAGCGATATAAGTCGCAGACATTGCTTCAGGAAAAAAAATGTCAAGACAAAAGATGTACTATTATTCACAATGATCCATTCCTTTTTAACCAACATATTTGACACCAAACCCTAAGAAATTACCCAGAGAAAGGAGACAATTACAACTAACTTACTACACTGAAGAACCACGAGAAAAAAAAACCCCATCAAAAGTAAAATCAAAGATGATACAATATAACATTGTCGATCATCATATCACCTTCGATCTCAATATACTTTTGATCTCCTCACTCATTTGCCGGTATCTCAAACCCTTTCGTCGGAAGGATCGAAAAATCGAACCGAACACTTTACCTTCGATGTTCGTACAACATGTTCATATACCTACTAAACTAAAAAAAAACACACCTAATGACGTGTGAAGCCCCAATTAATGAAAGATTAGTACGAGGATGAAAGCAAGTAATTACGAGGAAGCTGGAGGAGGGTTATTAATTAACATCGTTTTCCCCGGCCGCCGCCGCCGCCACCATGTTCTCGGCGATCTGAGCCAACGACTGCAAGTTGCACCGCACGATGGTGTCGACGAAGCTACACGTGTCCTCCTTGGTGTTCCCGGCCGGTATGTCGACGACGTACGACTCCACCACCACCGTCCCCGCCGCCGCGGGGTGGAGGGTGGTGACGGAGCGGTAGTTGTGGAGGCGGTGGTCCCCGCCCACGACGCTGAAGCTGATGACGTGGCGCTCGTCGTCGAGGATCTCGAGGCGCTCGGTGCTCTTCCCCGCGGGGAGGCCCGACACCACGCGCACCTCACGGAGCGTGCCCACGTCGCCGTCGCCGCGGATGAGGTGGCAGCTCTTGAGGAAGTGCTTGTACGCCTGCGGGTTGTCGAACCGCCGCACCACCGACCACACGGTGGACACGGGCGCGTCGATGCGCCGCACCACCGCGGAGCAGCACTGGTTGGGGCCCAGCGCCCGCGCGTGGTGACGCGCCACGTACTCCGGCACCATGGCGCCGCAGTCCTCTTCTTCGTTGTTGTTGTTTGCATCGTCGTCCTGGTCACGTGCCTGAATAAGGAGCGGCACGTGCCGGCACTCGGCCGGCGGCTGCTGCTGCTTGTACTGGCAAGATGGGGTTCGTTGGAGCTGGAGGGAGGCCGGCATGGCTGGATGAATATTGTTAGCGCCGGTGAGTTTTCCGACGAGGGGTTTTGTTTTGGTTGTTGTTTTGGGGGGTGAGTGATTAGGAAGGAGGGATTTGTGGAAGATTTATATATATGAGAAGGGGATTGGAAAAAAAAAAGGGAGAGCAAGTTGGGATTTAATATTTTTGGGGAGAGGATTTAAAATTTGAAACTTGTTTCGGTGATATATATGGAGGTGATAGGGAAATAGTTTTTTTTATATTTCTTCTTCTTGGTTTGTGAAGGCGGAAAGCAGAGCAGACGCCAGCCATGCCAGCCAGGGAGAGAGCAAGTGGGGAGGAGAAAGAAAAGGTGCAAGTTGCAATTTATTTGTTTGGACGTCGATCGTCCTAACTCCTAATAATAATTAAGTGTTTTTTGGTGTTTGGACTCGTCGTTTTTGGAAATTTGTATATTCAACATTACGTGTGACATGAAATCAACATTTTCATTTGGTCTCCATCTCTGAAATTTGACATTTTGGGTAAAAGAAGATTGAAATAATGTTGAATGTTAAAATGGGAGAAATTTATGGGTCCTTTTTTTGTGGGTGTGGGGGATCTAATAATTCGTTTGGATTGGGTATTCGGGTGGTATTTGATGAGAAATAACATTTTTGATTGGAGAGAATGAAAATATGTGTTATTTGGTACGTTGTAATTTTCCCCGGTTATTTATAAGTGGTATTTTCAAAAGACTACAGACGTGTTATTTGACAAATATCAATAGAGACGAGTATTCTCCGAATTTCCAAACATTGTGACTTATTATACAAATTATTCCAAAAAAAGATTAAATACAAAATGAAATTTAAATCTTAACTTGCTCACTGACAATTATATTATAGGCTCTCATTAAAACACATGAGTTATTCTAATATTTAACTCGAGATTGAAGATTAAAAAAAATCTCTCTTGGTGAAAAAGCATGAAAAATATGGGGTTAAGATTTAAGAAGAACAAATTGGCAAGATAATAAATTTGAGTGCAAATACTACTACTTATGAGTAATCTAACTATAATATCTCGTACAAATACCACATAGTGAATAATGTGTATTATGATATGTGGTAATTGATTCCAAATAACATGCTTCATAAATACTCATCGAACCTAGCTATGAAATCATCGAAATATTTTGGTTTGGAAATAGATAATTCGAGCGAAAGAATTGTGTTAGTTTGTCGTCAACTGGAAGAGAATCATGAAGAAAAAAAAAACGAGTCAGAGGTTGGAGAATAAAACATTTCATCAATTTAAATTCTCGTTGTTGTGATACAAATGATAAAAACGGTTAAAATTCTTTCACTTTATTTTTTCCATTGATAAAACCCATTTGATTCTAACTAAAATTCATCCCTAAACCATGGATGCCGCATATTGAAGTTTGTGATTTTGTATCGAAGAATAAATTACATTTTGGTGACAATTTTGGTAATCCAGATTTTTGTAGCTAGTAGACGTTTGATCCTCTACAACGAACTATTTGTTTTTACATAATTGCATGTGCACACACAAGTGTGACATTCCATTAAACCTAAGGCACAAGTTAAATTTTGTGACTGATCAGCGACAGAAGGTGTGTTGAATATATAAGAAGCCAAGTGAAAGAAGGTATATGATTGTAGACCATGGCAAAATTAGAATTTAGAGATGAAATCTTGCAGAAAGTGGCTGTTTGCTTTGGCAAACTTACGAAATCATAAATGTATTGGCTCAGTAGGAGACATTAATGTTAGTAGACATGTGTGTATCAAAATTCGTGAGCTTGTTGCGATTCAATGTATGCTCGAGTTCAATCCTTCTTCGACAACCAAGTACTCCATGCTTATGGAACCAGAGATGAAGTCTCGAAGTGTTTGTCCAATGTAATGAATTTTGCTACGTGGTTGAACAAGAAAATGCTCTTGCAAACGAGCATTATTGTCCAAGCTTGCCATAGCCAGGATTAAGAGCGAGGGAGGAACAGAATTAAAAGTTCACAACAAATTATATTGACATCGAACTCCAAATAGGTTTTGTACGAGGAGATATCGATAGTCTATTCACTTACGACTTTTCAATAAGAGATTATCATGTGGTTCATACTTCATAACTTAAATCAAACATCGAGAGGGGATTACAACTCACAAAAGTAACTACACGTAGCTCCACCACTAAGAGACGAAAGATGATGAGTAATAAATGTAAATTAGAGTTTTGGAGTTGCGTTTGGGTCTAGCCATTGGGTTTGATTATGAGTTTCGTATTGTATATTGGAATCTTAAGCTTCCTGCCTATTTATCCTATCATGTATCCTTATCGTATTTCTTTGTTTTAGGTTCCTTCCACCGGAATTTAGCCGAACTCTATTACCCTCTCATAATCATCTCTTGAAAGGAATCAAAAATATGTTTAAGAAGAAAAAAAAACAACTTGCATATTGTTTTAACTTCAATTTGTCTCCATTTAATTGATTATTTCATGTCCATTAATTACATCTCGAGCCAGGAAGCTTCCACGAGAAAAAAGAAAGGCTAGTGGCCAATGGGGTGTGTTTGTTATTAGTTATTCATTAATCATTTTCCTTTTCTCCTTCTTCGAAAGATGATAAATCCTGCACCAAATCCAGCCAACTTGCTGCTTTTTCTAACGACCCACATGAATATTTTCCCCTACCTAGAACGCCCATTTGATCTTTTATTAATGCTTTTATCTCTATAATGAACTCGATCTCTAATTTCATGATCGGTTCTGTAGGAGGTTTTGATAACACAATTCACAAAAATTCATTTGAGTGGTTTAATTGATGCTGCTACATCTGAGTGGGCAAATGACAAATAAAGTAGAAAAATAAATAATACACGAATTTATGTGATTCATGGGTACGATAGTTTATTTTATCTCTAATTTCCCATTGTATTACCGATTGTAATTTGTAAGCCGAATAAGTATACCAAGATATATCAACTAGGTAGGATGACAATTTTGACATGACTCGTTTTACTCGATTTGTTTGACATGCTTTGAAACGGGCAGTGTGCACCTTGTAGGTGGGGTAGAACAGGAATACTCTCTCCTCGATCTTTAGTCCACACCATTCTCGACCCATTTTTATCTAACTTTCATGAAATTGCGGAAGTACTTTGAATTGTACATTTTTATCTCATATTTTACATTAATAAAGTTGTAAACAAGTGAGTTAATCAATTTGTCAAATAGTTTAGCTAAATTTATCATGTTAGAGTTTCTTTCTTTATTCTTATAATGAAAATGCAATATTATAATATTTTCCCTTTACATTAAGTACCGATATGGATGGACCTGTCCCACCCCACTATTCATGATAAATTACCTGACATGTAGCAGACCGGTTATAAATATCGAGATGCCCGCCACGACCTTCCCTTTAAATTAAGTACCGATATGGATGGACCTATCTCATCCCACTCTTCATGAGAAATTACCCAACGTATAATGGACCGAGTATAAATATTGAGATGCCCGCAACGACCTTCACCATTTCCATTCCTAATCTCAACATTGTCAACCTCCCTATTGTATCACCCAATAGGCCTAGGGTTTGCTCACCCTTCATACAATTCGAAACACAATATGGATATAGTTGCTCGATCACCTCAGCCCAAAGTTGGATTATAATTAATTATATGAGGATTCATTTAAAGTATCTGTACATGTTCATCTTTCTGATCAATCAACAATGTATTATATACATAACCGCTACAACTAGCTAGTCAAGCACACCGTACGTACATTGAATGTAGCACCACAAAACAAACACCAAAACTCTTGTATTAAGTCATCACAACCTAGCTAGCTAATTAATTTGAGAGGGTGGGATTATAAATAAATAAAGACAAAGCTTTAGTTGGAATTTTAATTAGGAGTCAAACGAATAATTTAAGTTGATGAATACTATATTATACAAGTTGACTGTTTTGATACTAGTTTATTACTTAAGAACCCTTTTTGGCCCCTCACTAATTGGTCCCAATGGGCAATGCCTAGCTGGAGGATCATCATCATTGTCCAAGGAATTAATGAAATGAATTAATCTGCTCGTGGGCAAGTGACAAATTAATATTTCATTTTTAGTGTTTGCATTTATTCAATTTTGTGTGAGCATTGAATCAATCAAAGATCGTGAATTCATACCGGAGGTTATAATGGGTAGTGATAAGATATTTTGTACTAAAATCGTGGTTCGATTGTAATTCAACCATTTTTTACTGTCAAAATCACCTACCTTTTTGGATTCGGTATCCGGTATTCTCAGTCTGATCGGCTGATACAGTAGGGTTTCTCAAAAATTGCATTGAATTCAATAATTAATTATCATAAGAAAATTATAGATTAATTCAATTCAAGTTGTTTTTAATTAACATGATGATATATAGGGTTATCAACATCTTTTTCTTTTTTTGTATATCCACGGGAAAAAACAATGTGATCGTACGTAATTTTTGTCCAACTTGTGAGCTGCATGTGTCTAGATTCAATTAAGAGATTAGACCTTGTACCTTCCACTGGTTTTGATATGAAGCAATCTGCTTAAATTGATATTATTCTACATCCAATTTTCGGACTAAATATGAAAGTTATATTAACATATTTTTGCATTTAATCGTCATAGCAATAATATGTTGTAATTCATAAAGATAAAAATAATATGTGGTATGTTGTAGTTTATGACAATCGTGTGCTTTCCACTCCAAGTAGATCATTCCAAAGGAACATGACTACACCAAATAGAATTTCGTCGATGTATTTAACATAGCTGCAGGTAAAGGTCCGTCAAAGCATAGACCATCGACCTAGTAGTTGTCAGGTTGATCGATTTAGTGTATAAATTAACTTTTTTTCTTT